GGGAATGGCGAGCAGAGGGCCTGTCTGCGGTAGGGCACAGGCAAACACAGACAGAGTCCGACTGTACTTAGAGTTAATCGATTTCTGAATGACTGCAGGGGTCTCCGAAGGCCCGAGCCCCGCGGCTCCCCGGGGCAGCCCGCACACCGGCTCGGCCGCGCCGGGGGGAAGCGGAGGGCACAGCAGACCCCCGGGAGCCGCCCGCCGCACTCCGCCCGCCCAGGCCCGGGCACTGCTTACCCCGCCGGCCCGGGGGCGGCCGGAGCCCTTCCTCTCGGCGCTCTCGGGGCTTGCCTTCTCCACGCCGCCCGCCCTGGTCTTGGGCATGTTCTTCCCTAGGAGCAACGGGGGAAGATCGGTGCCTGAGCCATGTCCGGCGCTGCTGCCCGCGGTCATCGCCCGGCCGCCGCGGCCTGCGCCATGTTTAAAGGGCTGGATGCGGCAGGGCGAGCCGCGGCGGCCCAGCCCCTTCCCGGCGAGCTGCGCACACCGCGCGGGGGAGGAGTCCCGCCGGCCCGGCTCCCCGCACCTCCCAGGAGGAGCTTCCGCGCTGCGGAGATGGCCCGCGTCGCGCGGGCCCAGCCCCGTCGGCCCCGCCGTGCCCCGGCCCCGCTCCGCTCGTGCCCGCTCCGCCCCGCGCACCTCCGGCCATGGCGGCGGCGGCGGCGGCCCCGCGCCCCGGAGCCCCCGCGCCAGGCGGCCCCGACTGTCCCCGCGGAGTCCCCGCCGCCGCCAACCGCTCCGCAGGGAGACGCCGCGTTACCCTTGGCAGCCTCATTGGTTTAACTTCCTGCCAATCATGGCTATCAGGCCTCTGATTGGCGCGAGCAGCCATGACCCGCCCCCTCCCTGTCACACCGCGGTAGCTGCGGCTCCCGGGAACAGGGTTTAAATGTGAGTTCGCTGGGCGCTGATTGGTCCGTGCCGAGAGCAAGCAGCGCTCTGATTGGCGGCCCGGCAGGGAATGCTCCTCCCGCGGCCCGGCCGCGCCTCGTGAGTGGGAGGGCGCGGCACCGGGACTGGCACCGGGACCGGCACCGGGACCCTCCGGGCTCCGCGGGGAGGGCCGGTGCTCCCCCCGCCCCGCCCGCTCTGCCGCTGCACCGGTACCTCCATCCTACGCTTCTCCGCACGGCACACGGCCCCCGCCACCTCGCAGCGGGGATTCGGGGGACCCCTAATCCTGGCGGGATTGTAAAACTCTGCTTTGCGAAATTAGTAGGATGCTTTATGCAATGTTTGTCTTAGATCTCCCTGGCTGAAATTTAAGTCTATTAGTTCCATCTTCCAAGCTCGCCTGGGGGCCGGTAATACTGAAGCATTACACTAAAGCATCTAAGACCTCGTGTAAATCCCCATTCCTTAACGAGGACAGCTAAAATATTACAAAGCCAAATGACATATCCATTATTATCACCAAGAGAACTGGAACTGCCTTCAGCATCGATTCCCTGGTCAGAAGCTGCCAACGGGACTAGTACACACACTTTGAAATCAGGAAAGTACAATGGCAAAGAACAACATAGCAATGAGGCAAGAGCTCACAGAGATCAGAGGATCTGGATGGATGCCAAGTGGATTCCATCATGGAAGTCAGGAAATCGCCACACAGGACTTTGGTGCTCCATGATAAGCAGAACACTTCTATTGAGCAACCATGCATGACTCCTGTTTCTTATCTGTGTTACCCCTCCTGCAGCAAGTCCTACCTGAGTGTGCTCAGGACAGGGGGTGGTGGCACTTGTGCTGCCCCAAGTGCTATCACCATGGGGGTGGCTTCCCACCCAAGGCTTATCTGTAGCCACAGGCTGCTGCTTGTCTCTTGGGCATTCCCACAGTGACATAAACAGCCAGTGTGCTGCTTCAGCTGAAACCATCCTTTCCCTTAAGAAGAGGAAAAAACCTCTTATCATCTTAAGCAAGACCTTGGGGCCTGGTCTGTTCCAAGCTGTCCCAGAGCAGCTGGGGGCTCACAGGACAGGAATTCAGTGTCTCAGAAGGCAGCATTCTCAGAAGGCAGCACAGCGTTCCAGTCCATCTCCTCCTCTTCTTGTGCTAGCTCTGCATTCAGGCTTTGGGGAAGACAGAACAAACCCAGCTCTGCATGGGCACTGTCATTTGTTACGTTTGGGTGTTCGATCACCAGGCACGTGAATTTTACATAAAGGCAACCAAAACACACTGGGTATTTTCCTGTAAACTCAAAGCTGCAGCCAGCTGACATCCTCCAGGCATCATGTCCATGACTATCCATGTCCATGGTGTTCTTCCACCAAGGCAGGTACTCCAAGCTCTCTGCAAAAGCATCAGAGCAGACACTGCTCTCATTTTTCCACCCCAGTTCGCACTGTACTTATCGCACAGCTGGGATGCAACTGGGAAAAAAGGATCTTCATCAAGTACCAAGATGATTTCCTTCTTGCAGTAATAGGGAACACTCTCCCTAATGTCTTGGGGAAGCTCTGGAAACGCCCTCAACTGTGGTTTTGCTCAGCCGTTGTATAGTTTGAATAATTATTTTATATATGTATATTAAACAAAGCAACCGAGATGGCATCGAAGCCGTGCGGGCCACCAGTAGAGGGCAAAGGAAACCAAGGAATTCTCTTCCCCAGAGCAACAAAGAAAACAACGTCATCCCTAACTGGCCGCTGCTCCCGGCGCGGTGGGATCACGCTGTGAATTGGCAAAACATGTTGGCTTTACCCCCTCAGCTGGCTGCGACCAAAAGCCAGAGATGAGGAGAAGTTAAAATGTTAAAGGCTCCAGCCCAAACCGGTGTGGCTGGAGCCGCCCGTCACTGTGACTCAGGACACGCACATGGACAGAGAGCGCAGCCGACTCCCGGAATCCAGAGAGAGCAGCGCGACTCCCGCTAGAACCAGCGCTAAAACCCAGTGACCTAAATATTCTCTCCCGTAGTGCCGCATGAGCAGCTCCCGGGAGCACCACGTTTTACTGCGGAAATGTGAAATTGTTTTGTGGGGGAAGGGAAGGAAGAACGAGCGAGGCGTTGATTTGCTCAGAAAGGGAAGAAAATCTTCAAGCTAAATCTCTTCGGTCTAGATGAACACTTCATGCAGTTAAAAAAAAAAATCTTATTTTATCTTTGAATTCACAGTTTCATTTTCTGTCCAATATACCAAGGAGATGCTTGTTAAATATCCCCACCTGAGAGCAAGTTCTCACACAGCACCTGTCATATTTGCAATCTGCAAAATAAATGACGGCATTTACACAAATTTCTCGTTCACAAGATGAAATCCCTACAATTTGTGCTTCAGCCACTAGAAATCAAGTAAAAACAATCCCTGAGGGTAACTGCTGAGTATTACATTAAGCAATATCATTTTATAAAGTCACTGAGTAAAATGCCAGTAGGTGCTAACTGCATTTCATAGATTATAAAATAAAATTACATTCAGAATTGTATCTACCAACGATTAAAAAAAAAACCCAAATCTCTGACTAGAAGTGCAGTGAGATCCGTGAATTACATGCAAAATTCTATGGAAACAGAGTCCTGCAGACAAATGTGCGTGTGCTAAATCCACGCCGATGGAAAGCAGCATTTCCACCAGATTACTCACCTATTCCAGTCGAAGATGATCACAAACGCTGACAGGTAACTCCCTTTTCAACTCAAGACATGGAAACCCTCACTTTCATGTCATGATTGTACAGAGCTGCTGAGATTTAAAGTTCGATTCATCACATGTGAGCTGTACTTCATGCCTTCATCTGAAGTGTGAAGAGGGCAATAATCAAGATAAAAGCTACCATTTAAATTGTTCTTCTGGTCTCTGGACACACTTCTGTCGTCTTTTTCTCCATCTGAAGCACCACTGATTAATCTGAATTACTTAAGTCAGTTTAATTAACGTTGCTTTGTCTTTAAATAGTTTAGCCTTAATCTGTCTAATCCATTATTGGTTCTATTAATCCCTGTTAAATTTGTCTAATGATAAAATAAGCAAACTTGAACAAGATTGAATGGTAGTACTGAACATTTGAAGGAATTTCATGATTGCTCACACTTCGTCTATGTCTGGTTCAATTCTGTGCGAAAGTTCTTAGAAATTTTCATGTTCTTACACAACTGGAAAAGCATTTTATTGGAAGATTGTCTCTTTTAACAAGTCTTTTCAGTCTGGGGGCCTCCAGCCGGAAAGATGTCACTAAACGTGAAGCTAGCATGCATGAGTGGTCTATGGATTTTCACTCACTTTTTGCACCAGCAAGTTTCACATTAGCAGCTTGTAAAATACTGGCGAGGGAAAACTCATGTGCCAGCACATCCCCACGGGAGGCATTGCCAGGGAGGGCAGCAGGGGTGTCCCCCCGCATTCCCCTGGGGGAGCTCCTGTGCCGGAACACTGCAGAGCCGTGCCGCTGTGAGGGGGCGGAGGCGGCGGCGTCCTCAGGGCGGGGTGGCACCGGCCGCACCGGAGCCGCCAACCGCGGAGGGACGGGACGGGACCAAGGGGCCGCCTGAAGTGAGACGCGTTCACCAGCGGCAAGACGGGCGGGGATGAGCTAAACTAACACCGTTTCCCCTCACGCCGGCAGCCCCCGGGGCCCCAGCCCCGCGCCCGGCCCTGTCCCAACGCTCCGAGGCCGCTCCCGCCAACGCCGCCTCAGGCGGGGGCGCGCGCACGGCGCCCTCCCCCAACTCCCCGTGATGCAGCGAGAAACGCGAGATCTCGCGAGAGCTCCGCCGCGCTGCCGCGTTCTCGCCGGCAGCCGCCATCTTGCGGGAGCCTCGGTCACGTGACCGCTCGCAGCCGTTCGCCTCCGCCTTCCCCTCCCCCCACCCTACCGGGAACCGGGCCCGGATCGCCAAGGCTCGACTGCGGCCGCCGCCCTGGGGCGGGGCCCGCCCGCGGGGACGTCCCTTATTCGACGGACGGTGGATACGCCGGGTTTTCTTGGAGGGGAGGGAACGGGGAACTTTCTACCTTCCCGTTGCTGAGAGCAGGGAAGAACCGAGGCGCGGCATGTCACGTGGCGGGGGCGAGCGGGGAGCGCGCGCCGGGGCCCGGCGGCGGCGGCGGTGGGACCGGGGAGCCCGCGGGCGGGGGGCGGGTCACGTGGTGCCGAGCGCGCGCCAGCGGCGGGCGCTGGCTGGCGGCGTCACGTGGGCGGGGAGCGCGCGCGCCGCGGCGGGGGGAGGGAGGCGCGGCCCGGGTCACGTGGTGCGGGCGGCCCCCGGCCCCCCCTCCCTGTGAGGGGAGGGAGGGCAAAGATGGCGGCTGTGAGTTAGAAAGCGGCGGGCGGCGGGGCCGGCGGCGGAGACTTCCAGGAGCCCGCGGGAGGATCGAGCGCGACAGAGAGTAAGTCCTGCTCTGCCCTTTCGCTTGGTGTCGCGTCTGTTTGGCCGCCTCTGGCCGCTCCCCGCGTTGCGGGGCCGCCGCGGGGGTTTCCTCCCCTCCGCTCCTCACCGGGGCCCGCGGTGGCAGCGCGGGGGTGTCGGAGGAGAGCCCGTTGTGCTGGGAGCGGCTCCGCGGCTCCCTCGGTCCCTCAGCCCCGGAAGGCTGTACGGCCGCCCCCGCAGGGGTCCCGGTGGGCCGGGGGCGGCGCGGCGGGCGGGGGAGGCGCCGCCGCCGCCCCGGCGGAGCCCCGGTTGTCCCGTGAACTTCGTGCCCGGGGGCGTGCGGGGGTGGGCGGCGGGGCCCCCCGGTTCTGGGGAAACGCTTCTGTAACGGGGGCGGGCGCGGCGTTGGGTTTGGCCGCCCCCCCCGCCGCATCCCTGCGCGGGCAGAGCCCCCCGGGCCGGCCCGCGCCTTTGTGCGCTCTTTCCGCGGCTGCTGATTGTTGAGGTTTGAAACGGAGAGACCGGGCGGGGGGGATGGGGGTGTTTGATTTATGGTGCCGGAGCGGCTCCGAAAGCCGCCGTGAGACGGAGCCCTGCCGCCCTTCCCCGGGATCGCGGTGCTGTTGAAGGGATCTTTAAAGAGGTGAAGATCTGGAAACAAAAAGTCGCGCATGGGACAGGATTACGCAGCCGATTCTGGCCCAACCCGGAAGTTTATGTCGGGAACACGTGTTGGTGGGAAGGTGGCGGGGCAGGAGCCGCCGACCCCCCCCCCGTCTCTCCCTTCGCCTCCCCCGGGGGCTTTCCCCGCCCGGCCGAGCCCTCCGGGGCCCCGCTGCTCCCGGGGAGCTGAACCGCGGCGACAGACACGGCCTCAAAGTCCAGGGACTCTTAACGAGCGCACCTCAAACAGAGGTTGCTAGGGTGAGTAATAGTTTAACGTAGAAATGCCCCTACAGTCTGAAGGGGAAGAGGCCTTTTGGGTTTTTCTTCTGGTTTTTTGGTTTTTTTTAGGTTGTTTCTTTATTATTTTTAGCTGACCATGTTCCACACTGCACTTGAGAGTGTAAGTTAGAACTCTTGTACTTTCAGGCACTCTGAAGTACCTGAGGCTGGTTCCACGTGTTTGATACCTTTAAAAGATGAGGCAAATTTTGTAAATGCTTAAAAAATCCAAACCTTGAATTGATCTATTAGGTAATTCCACAGTAAGTTAAAAAAAAAATTAGTGTGATCAAACGACACAGTGTAAAGTTAGGAATTAACTCGGTGGTAGACTATTTGGCTTTAGACTACCGAGTTTGTGTCTGGATTAAAATTATTTAAAAACATACATTAATGTTTTGTAAACTACTCTCCGCCAAAATTGAAAATTTGTAGTTGATTTTGTAAAGCAAGAATTGAAATTGTGTAACAGCATGACATTTGAATTGGTATTTTGAATCTGCCTCACAGCCATGAGATGTTATATTTGTATGCAATCTTAATATTATTTAGAAATAAAACGTGGGCAGTTTGTCTTTTTGTCCAGACTACTTACTTGGTTTCAAAACTGGCTGAGAATTGCTCTAAAAGTCATTGAAGCAGGTCATGGATATAGGCAGTGGTGCTTTGAGACACACCTGGAATTGGCTCACAGGTTAAAACTAAGGATCCTGGCATTCACATGCTGCTCTTATTTCTTTGAATTTTTACTTCTTAAAAACTTTCACCAGTGGCCAAATTACCAGCTCCAGCCTTTTAGTCTGAAAGCTGATTTCATGCCAAATTATTGCATTGTTTAGTCTTCTAATATTTTCAAAACTTCTGAATTTCATATTTGCAGACTGTGTAACATGACAGCTGTAAATTTTGCAGAACAGTCATTAAAAAGCGTTGAGGCAGAGTTGAACCCCGGAGTGCCCTGGAGTGTCCCTCATGTCCTTGAAAGCTTTGTTTGAGTAGTAACCAGCCTTGGGAAAATGGGAATGATTTTTCCAGGATTACAGTTAACTTATTATTTTTGTGAGAACACCTTTGTACGTGTAAATGTAAAATTAACTGCTAGTCTTGAGGTTAAGGCATGGAAGGATGGGTGAGTTCATTAATTAGGGTTTTGCTCTTTGATTGGATGGTGGCTTGGAGAGGACCAGAAGGGGTTGGGTTGGTTGAGGTTTTTTTTTACTGTTACCCAGGTTGCATTCCGGAGGCAAAAGCTGTGAGATGAGCAGAACCCACGTGGATATCCAGAGAATCCTGTTGGGTGGGATGGGGCTCAGCAGCCCTTACACCTCTGCTGTGAGAGGCTGCAAAGGGAGATGTGGAATTTTCAGGTCAATAATAACTCATGGTTTAGACAGGCAGAGAATTTGCAGGGCAAAGCTTCTTTATCTCTACAACTCCAGTATTTGTGTGATATTATAAATGGTTTTCAGTACAGTTCAGGTGACAGGTACTCCTCAAAAAGGCAGTGGGGATGAACCTTTCCAGTAAAAGAACAGAAGTTGCTGAATGCTCTTTGTGTCCCAGCCAAGCACTTGGGTGCTCCACAGAGCCCAGGTGTCTGAAGGGCTTGGGAATAGCAGTGCCTGCTTGATTGTGATGTTTGGTTTGGACCAATTTATGATACTGTACTTGATTATGGTTTTTAAATAAGCACTTTAGGCGTGCAGTGTTGCAATGTGTAACTCACAGACCTGAAAATCAAAAGGCTTTTCGTTGTTTGGGATTCTACCATTATCTTTCTCAGGGGAAACAGAGCAGGTTGCTTGACATGTGTTTTAGAATCTTTTTTTTCTTTTTTTTTTGTTTTGTTTCTTTTGTACCAAAGCTAAAATGGAAGGAGAGAGAGAGCCAGGTTGGCATGGATACATGACATGATATTAAACATGGCATTCTGGTTTTGTATCTTTAAATCAGGAATTATTTACATAATGTGCAGTGATCACAAAACCGTCTCTTCATCAAAGTTTTAAGCTGTATTCTTCATGAGGAAAGCATCTTACAGAAATGTTTGGTGTGTTTTGGTAGCACTTCTTGAAATAGCAGCAGTTTGCTTTTTCCTAATACAAAGAAAGTAATTAAAGTATTATTACAGTTGAAATTTTATAAATACATTTTTTTTTAGTTTTATTTAATAGGCTGATTCTTGCTCAGTGACATTGGACTACCTCACTAAACATAGACAGTCTTATCTGCAAGATTCTACATGCTCAAAACAGTTCTTCGAGTGATGAAATGCTCGGGGAACAGCTTGTAATATTCACAACTTTTTAATAAGTATTTTCTTTCGGAGATTTTTGAAGATGTGGCAAACAGGTCCTTATATAGTATTGCCAAGGCTGAGCTGCAGAGCTCGATAAAGTCACTTTCACTTGTGTTAACTGAGGAGCCTCCTACCTTGCAAGATTATGGAGCTGGTTCAGCCTGATAATGTTTTAAGCTTAACCAGCATGTGCTACAGAAAACAAACCAAGTTATCACAATGCAGCTTCTCCTGTGTTTTTTTTTCTCCCTCATTTACTTTCCTTGCTAAATTAAAATGAGGAGGGTGGGCAGCATTGGTGCTTGGAAATTGCACAAAGCCTAAAATTGGTGCTAAGTATTCAGTGACTTCTAATGTAAAAATTCTAGAAGTTCAGAATTCCTTTTGTTTCAAACAATGCAGCTTTGTTCCTACTGTACAGAAACAAAATAAGTGAAACTAGTCAAACTTTCATTGTCCAAACTGACAGACAAACAATTGCTGTTGTTTTACTGATCTTTTTGCTGGATTGTGAGCAACCGTGAATTTTTAAGACTTAAAATTTGGAGTATCAGGGGAGAGGTGCAGCTAGGGGATTTCTTACATTAAAACAGCCCCACTAGAAAGGGATGCTTCTAAACTGGAGATATTTACTCTGAAATTATAGGAATTGCTTTTGTAGTTTCTATCACCAGTCATCTACTGAAGACTTTGAAATAAGCAACTAAAGCATTACTGCTATGAAATGTTTTGTTTTCTGAACTCTGAAACTTTGAAGATATCAGCCATCATGTTTTTAAAGGTTAAACATGTCGAGGTCAGTGGCATGGTGGATATGTTAAACTGGACTTGAAACAGATGTGATGGGTTGTGTCACCGTTGTGGGGTGGCCTGGGGAGAGATGTCTTTTTGTGGTGTTGGTGTGGTTTTTTCTTCTAGCTTTGGTTTAGCTTTGAGTCTCAACTTCATAGAAAGCCTTTCTTATATTGTGAGAGCAGACTAGAAGTTCTTGAGTCTTTTCATTTTCTCTTAAGTGAAAAGCCCCAAGCTTCTGCCTTTTTGTGCCTCTATTCAGTCCAGTCCCTTAACTCTCAACCAAGTTTTAGTTGTATCTTTGTTTAGCAGTGGGGTGATCACAGCTCCATACAGATAAAGAATGACTTAACTGATGATTTTTTCCATTGTACATTTAGACATTTTTGTTTATATGTCCTTTGAGCAAAGGTGGTGTTTATGCCTCTTTCCCAAATGGGTACTGTGAAATTATGATTTTAAAGTGGTTTGGAGCTGTTTTGATGGGGTGACTTATATTAATTCCCCCTCTGTAGAGAAGGGATTTTTTTTTTGTAGAGAAATTCATCTTCAGTAGCTACTCTCAAGTTCTGAACACCAAAAGTACTGATAAGCAAAAAATTTCATCTGCAAACTTAAACTTTCCTCCCCTCACCTGGTTCTAGTTAGTAAATAATGCTGCAAGCTTCTAAACTTGGATGTGATGGTTACTGCTAAGATGAAAACTAAGGGTTTATCCTACCTAATTAATGTGTATATTTATATATATATAGTCCCCTTTATTGAGAGAAGAGGCACATTCTTTCTGGGATGAGATGTGAAACTAAAAGTCAGTTCTTACCACTTTTGTTGACCCATTCAGGGATCTGGGTGACAGGCTGGTGCTTTCATGGTGCTGCCATGTCAATTAAATCTGCTAGATGAATTAATACTTGTTAATATTTTCTGTACCTCACAGCAGCAAACCAGGCCATTCTGCCAATTTATTTGGTAATCTCAAATTCATTTCAGAAAAAAAAATCTGGTTCTGACAAGCAAGTGGTGTTTGATGGGGCTGTGTGTGGTCAGTAGCAATCCCACCAATTGTTTGTTACTTTGATATTGTTTGGAGCAACTTTAAGTCTTTGATACCTTAAAATCTCCCCTTTGTCCCGGTACCTTGCATTTGTGGTGCCACCATCTCTGTATGAATCCACAACCAAGAGATTTCTCCCTGCTATTGCACAGACTAAAACTGGGAAGAGTAAGAACTGAGTGCCTGGGGCTTAGCTTATTACAAGAATTACCTGTTCTGCTAAATGTGCTGAGGAATATGTGTGACCAGCCAGCTGGATGTGACTTAGCTGTGCACGTAGAAGGGATAAGCAAGGCAATGCTGTTTTGGAGTCTTGTGAATGAACATCTAAAATGCCAGCAAATAATTTTGTTCTCTTACCTACTTTAGAGTAGGTGTTTGGCTTCATTGAGTTTCGTTGTTTTGTTCCCAGTGGGTGTTAAGGGGTGTGGAGGGTAAGTGAAATTAAGATCTGCTTGAGATGTATTTTAGAATGTATAAGCAACAGTTAAAGTTCTGAGAAATCATTTAATTTTTATCTTAATACTAGGGCAGATGGGTTTCCTTCTTAAGCAAGTGAAATGTGTTATCTTCTCTCTTCATC